GGGGGGGGCCCCCCCCTTTTAATATTAGGGGGAAGGGATTAATGGTGTTAGCATAAAATACCATCATATACTACGACAGCATGACAGTACTTATAGTATTACAGTGCTTTTTTTGACTGAGGTGGGCTTGGGCCTGGCTGGCTTCCGTGTGGGGACTCTTGGGGTCACTTTGCTTGGGCCAGCTGCGCAGAGTCTTGGGCTCAAGGAACCGGAGATGGAGCCCGAGAGCCAGACGTCCGAGGTCCACTGGATCTTCACTGCTAGATCCTGCCAAGGTTGCATGGAGCCCACCGACAGCTTTTCGCAGCTACACGGGGAAGATGCCAAGGGCAGCTGGACTTTGATTCTCGAGACAGACCCCGAGGTTGCGAACGGTTTGGTGACTTGGGTGGAGCTGAGCATCACTTCATGTTAGGACTCGCGTCCAGATGCGTTTAATCAATTGTTTAATGCTGTGAAGCACGCAATGCCGAGCTGAAACAGGGTCGAGCGAGTCTAGCGCGCTACAGTGCACTGTGCACGCTGCAACATCCGCCTTCTGCATCGATCTGCCAACAGCAGTGGCTCTAAAGGGTGTGGCCCTCGCCGCCCCCTAACTTATGCTTCGATGGGCGGTTAAGGTACCGGAAAGCCGGAAGACGAAAGGAAACACAGTGGCCCTCAAATTCAAGCAGCTGGAAAAGCGTGTCTCTTTTCATGCTTTGAACTGAACAGCCAGGAACATCTAGGCCGTCTGCTTGGTGCCTGCAGCCTTGCACTTGAATGCACAAACACGTTGATCAGCTTAAACTAGGCGTGCACCGGTGTCATAGATCAACAGAAAGCCATGTTGGCTGTAGTGAATTCGCACATCAGACGTGCAGATGGTTCATAAAGCACGGGTATGTGTGGTATGTCAATGTCCGGCACCACATTCTGGCCCGATCATGGCCTCCGGACTTGTCCTTCGCTGCTTCCGACCATTCCGGCAAGCCGGACGTGTGACATGCCAAGGATTCGGAGTCGATTGCGCTTCGCGTCGGTGGAAGGCAGTTCAACCCTCTGCAATACCTTCGTCGAAAACAGAGCAACCCGATATTGATTGGACAGCCCTTTCAGAAGAAGATGCCGAGCTGTTCGAGTCCTTGCAGTCGGCGGTGTCAGCTCTGGGTGACGAGGCAGATCATCCGATGATTGAGGTTCGCGACAAACTGGCCGTTGCCTTTCGAGACAAAGCTGCCTTGCTCAAGCGCAACTGGACAGATGAAATGTTCCAAGAAGGCCAGCATCTGAATGAAGAGAAAGTTGCTGAGATAGAGGCTGCAATGGCAACGGATCTGGGTAGTTTTGGCGGCGGATTGCAGAATGGTCAGAATCTGGGAAATGCATTGGATCTTGTAGGTGCGTACATGAAGAACTACAAGCTTGATAAAGCGGATGCAGTGTTGGCAAAATGTGGTCCCTTCGTGTCGCACCGCGGCGGTGTTTGGATGGTCAAGTGGCTCAACCACGACGGGGCCTCAGAGCTGCAGCACAGCCCTCCGAGGATGTCGTTTCCTTTCTTTCTTCGAGCTGGCCAGAGGTTTCAACGGTGCGCATGAAGCAAAGCCGACACTTGGAAGCCCTGGCTCCTTGGCCGTCGTTGGAGCCTGTAGGTCAGCGCATTATAACACATGCTTTTGGCATACAGTGCGAGTTGTCCATGCAAGCTTCCCAACCAAAGGAAATGCTCTATGACCTCGAAATGTACAGCGAGTCGCTCAGTAGTAAACGGAAGTTCCATACAGCGACATAGGGCTTGTGAGCCGTAGGCGGAGGTGTTGGTACAAGTATCTTGAGCTGCCTTGAGTGGAGTGGAGTAGAGCGAGAAGAATGAATCAAAGCAGCACACCCAAGGTCCCTACAATGCGCAGGAGGCATCGATCTAAGTAAGGTCTAGAGTCTAGAGTCTAGGCAGGCAGTACTGTGCGCTTCGGTCCTGACTTGTGCGGAGATGTGGGATCTGGATCAGCTTTTTGCATCGCCTCTCATGCAAGACTTTATGCGTTCCGCTGCGTTCTGGCAGGCTCCCGAGTTCTTTACAACGCTGTACCGGAATCAGGTGCCAACAGGCTGACGTTTGGGCGATGTCACAACCGGCATTCTGCAAGGCTTGGGCCTTGAAAGCCCTGGGAAGAGTTGAAGAGGCGGCGATGTACTTCAACAGGAGCCAGAACGGTTTTGGGCACTCACCCTGGTCGCACCGAATTGGATAGGATGGCTTCGGCGTCGAAGCACTCCAAGGCAGTGTGGTCTTGCGCAGCACGGAGGCTCGAACCTTGTGAAACAGTGTTGATGCGAGGGGGACCTGGACTGGTTTGACAAATGGGACCTTGGGAAAGTCGCTGCGGCGTGGTGAGCCCAGACTCGTTCTGGAAGCCTGGGCAAACCCGGTAGGTTTGTCTGAGGCGAGCTTGGCGAGATGGTGACATGAAGGCCTTCTACGTGGCTCGATCGCTGGTAGAGGAGGCACCGTGCTGAGCATGCAAGGCTGAGTGCTTCCGTCTGCATAGCTGTTCACGAAATGATGTGAAAGCTGAGGCCCTGGAGCTTCAAATTCTGCAAGAGCCAGATGATTTGGTGATGAGAGCCAAGGCAACCAGCGACTGAAAAGCGAGTGTCCTTTGCTGCAAGGTTATGTGACCCTTTCCTGGCCCTAGGTCCACGACTCCTTGGCGGAGTGCTTCCTGATCGTCAAGGAGAAGCTGCGACATGCTTAGATTGTTGTCACTTCCAGCCTCGTGCCCCGCATGCCCTTGGCCCTGCAGGAACATGCGAAAGCCGACGAGCACTATTCAGCGGCATACAAGCTGCTGCTCGAGACAGTAGGCGACCGTATAATCGCTGCAAGATGAAATTAGCCCGATGGCGATGTTGCATGTTGAGGCAATCAATCACCCCTTTTTGGCAAGCAAGCTCGACACTTGGCCACGGACTCAATTCAACCCGGAGGGATATCTCTCGTTCTGTTGCCGAGATGCAGTATCCACAAAGCCAAGCAAGGCCAATCTGCGCATAGAGGAGGGACGATACGCAGAGGCAGGAAGAAAGTACAGGTCAAGATTGCATGACCGTGATTATGCTTGACAGGCCTTGCCATTGCTCAGTGAAGCCTTAGAGGTGGAGTCAAGCAAGGCCCAACGGCCCGACATGCCATGCCGGCCGGTCATGATCGACCAGCCATGTTACTGAGGATGCGGTCAATGTAACGGAGTTGTTGGAGCTGGAGCCAGCCTCAGCATGGCGTGTTAGCCGTGCCACAAAGAACCTCTCGTAACTCCATGTGAACCGCGGCACTTGCAGGTTGATGTCATGGTAAACGCGCAGCAGTCGGGACCTCAATTGCGACACGTGCTAGAGCTGGGAAGCGAGTTGAGATGATTGGAGCGCGTTGGAGCTCAGGCGCTCATCGGCTGATGCAATGCTTGGCTCGCCATCAAATCACTCTGCCATCAAGCGCCTACAGTAACTCTGAATTCATGAGAATGAATCCGGTAAACAGCCGATCACTGGCAGGGTCTTGCGTTTGAAGCCGAGGCAAAATATCAAATCTCGCAGCCTGGATGAGTCGAAGGAATTCGCCGTGCTTTGCCACAAGCTTTCTCTGTCCGCCACCCAGATTCAACCGCTGGCAACTTGGAGCTCCCTTAAGCATCTGAAACAGGAAACAGACGACGAATTCAACGTCTGCGTTTAGGTGGCAATTCCAGAGGCAACCAGACCCCGTGGAAGCGAAGGGAAAAGCTGCGCCAGCGCGCCGAAATCAGGGAAACACGACCACCAAAACATGCCAATAACGTCAAAGACCCCATGTCGCAATACCTGAAAGTAGGGGAGGAGGATGTCTTCCACCGCCTGCAACTTTAATGCACAAGGGAAGCCAGGTGAACCACTTGCGTGAGTTTGTGCTTGATTCGCGAAGTCTTGCCAACTTGTCGGCTGCCCAGGCTCTACCTTCATGAGGGGCAAGTCGACCCAAATGCACTGAGGAGCTTTAGACGTCCATGGCACAGCTTGTTACACTACTTCTGTCCGCTCGACGAGTGCAGCAGAGGAGAGCACGGAGACTCGCCAAAGCCGCAGTTTCTCGGCTGCCCTAAGATTCTTGAGAGATTTCTGTTGTCATGTCATCGGTCTAAGCGTCTAAGCCGATAAGCTCGCAGACACCAGTGGTCACCGGGACCCCCATAAACGAGACATCGCAAGAAGATAATCCCGAGAAGGCTGGTCTCGAACATTGCCACAACCCACAGCCTGTGTTCACAACAGCCGTTTCTTTATGAGGCTCGCAAGTCGCATGCTTTTGATTGCGTGAGAATTTAGCAACTGGAGAAAGGCGAACTAGTAATGATTTCAATTTCAGGACCTTAGGGCAAGGGGGCAACAGTGTCCACAAGGACAGTCTTCCGGATGTTTGGATCAAGCAGTGCCACCGTCACGTGATGCAAGTCACTGCAGCGGCCCGACTGGCTTTCTTCTTTCGATAGTACTGGGGTGTTACACGTTGCGGGGGAGCTACGTTAGTGTTGCTGAACATGTCCCTGCCCTGTGGAGATCGTGTCTCTTAAGGTCATAGTGGACGGGTGTGCATGAATAAACAATCTTGCCCGGGTGCCTTATTCTGTGGCAATTGTGGGAGCCTGAATTCGAACTGGCGCCGCAATACTTCTTCTGGAGGTCTGGGCATGGGAGGGATGTCACGTGAGCCCTAGCTTTCTCATGTCATCCTCCATGTCCATGCATCATGAGTTCCCCAAGCACAGCCTGCAATGAAGAAAGGATCAGGATCCGATCGAAGACCGAAGAACTACGGACATTCGCCCGCCCGCCCGTGCACCCACCCACCCAAGCAGGCACACCCTGAAATCCATCAGCAATGCTGCCTTTCATGCACTTGAAGGTCGACAATCGTTTGTACAGATCCGACAAAAAGCAAGCAACCGTCAGGTTGCCGGAGCAGAAAAGTGTTTCTAGCAGGAGCAAGCAAGATGTAGGAACAAGCAACGCCTGGCCTTTTTCAGCAAACCGATGTGGACATGTACGGAAGATCTGTGGAGTGCAGACAGGCGGGCGGATTGAATGTGAGAAACTTCTCAAGAATCGGCAAGACCAATGATTGAACTCACAGCAAGAAAGAGCTATTGCGGTACCATTCGGAAAAGTCATTCGGGAAGTTCGGAAGCTGTCTTGTCGGTGACGTGGCGTATGCCCAGCGGCAAGTAGTCACGGATTGACTCTGATTGACTTAGCATCTCTCCCCATCGGCTTTACAGCAAGATTTTCGCACGATCTTGCGTACTGTAAGAACAGCCCAGCACGTGCCTTGCAAAGCGGGCTCTCCGCAGAAAACTTGTGGAGTCTAGGCTAGGACTAAGTTAAAATACGGCGCGGCTCCAGACCGCGGTGCTACGGTCATGATGGGAGGGTGGGTGGAAGCATCGGTGGTCGGTGTGGGTTGGAAGCGCTCCTTTCTGCGTTGCAACGTGGGGAGATCGGCTGGAAGGAAGGCCTCGGGTTTCTTGTCCTTGGACACTCTGCTTGCGTTCCTGTTTTCTGTGATGTCTGTGGCCCTTTGTAGCCGCTCGCGCACTATCACGACTGTTTCGTTACAGTCTTTCTGTGTCTGACTCTCTCTCAGGTTCGCATCCTCCGGGTACATCAAGGAGATTGTCTTGTGAGATGCTTGTTTTGCAGACACGCATTCTGAAAATCAGGAGACAAGGATGCCTGCAGCCTCAGTCCGTGGTAATTGTGGAATTCATGCAGGTGGCATTTGCAGTGCATGACCTGTGCTCGTCTGCTTGGTTATCTCAGGTGACTGACTGGCTTAGGATGTCTGAGATTCATTTGCGCCTACTAGATTCTGCACAGTCCAGCAGAAAAGCGAGCTTATGCGAGCTCTTGCTCCTTCCCGTGGAAGCTTTGTGACTAGCAGATTGGAGAAGGATTGACCACCAGTTCGAAATGCACGTGGGTCTCGCAGTTTTCCAGAGACAGTGCCCGAACCGGCAGTGGCCATGGACTTGCAACTTGTCGGCAAACGGAATCGAAGGAGCGGCGATGTCGCTCACAAAACGGTTTCTCTGGACATAGTTCAGGATGCTCGAACGTGATGCTACGACATGCAGCTTGTCGGCAATTTTGTTTCGGGCGCTGCTGCACAGACCTGGCTTGTGATTCGGGATGGCCAGAGTCAAGGTTTGACGGCTGCGTAACAGATGAAGAGCTCAAACATTGTGGTTTCCTCAGCACAGTGAGACCGTGAAGTGAAGGCTGTCAGCGAAACATGCAGGTTGGATATTTCTCTTTGTTTTTGTATTTTTTTTGGTCTTCGCCTGAAGGGCTTCAAGCGCCGAGTCAGTCAGCCCGTCAGTCGGTGAGTTGATCCGCGAGCATCAGTCAGTCAGTCAGTCGGACAGTGCCAGTCAGTCGGTCAGTCCCGTCGATCCGCGAGCCTATTTGTCAGTCAGTCGGTAAGTAGGTCGGTGCACGAGCACGCCGGTCTGTCAGTCCGTCGGGCGGTCGGTCAGTCGGTCCGCCAGTGTTTGAGATACATGATAGACCGATATCGCCAAATGAGGGGGCGTGTTCAAAATATATGATGAATCGGAATCACCAAATAAGGGGGCGGCGGCGTGGTGAAGATCTGTGGTGAACCGGACTCGCAACATGAGGGCGCGTGTTTAAGATATACGGTGAGCCGGACGGAGCGTGTTCCTCATTTGGCGATTCCGGTTCATCATACATGCTGATCATACCCCTGATTTGGCGATTCCGGCCCACCATAAATCTTAAACATGCCCCCGCAGTTGGCGACAACGGTTCATCATGTACACATACATACACACACACACACATATATATATATATATACATATATTGAACACGCCCCCCCATTTGGCGATGCCGGTTCATCACCTGTGTTTAACACGCCCCCTCATGTGGCGATAACGGCTCATCACATATGTTAAACAGCCCCCTCATTTGGCGATTCCGGTTCATCGTACATCTTAAGCACGCCCCCTCTTTGGCGATAACGGTTCATCATACATCTTAAACATGCCCACACACGACAATATCTTTAACGCGCCCCCTCATTTGGCGATAACGGTTCAACAATATCTTAAACGCGCCCCCTCATTTGGCGATTCCGAATCATCATACATGCTGAACGTACCGCTCATGTGGCGATTCCGGTTAGTCATACATGCTGACCATAGCCCTCATGTGGCGATTCCGGCTCACCATATATCTTAAACAAGCGCCCTCGTTTGGCGATAACAGTTCATCATATATCTTAAACACGCGCCCTCATGTGGAGAGTCCGGTTAGTCATGTATCTTAAGCATGCCCCCTCACTCAGCGATTCCAATTCACCATATATTTTAAACACGCCCCCCTCTTTTGCTCCTCATAAATGTTAAACACGTCCCTCATTTGGAGATTCCGGTTTATCCTATATCTTAAACATGCTCGTTTGGCGATTCCGGTTCATCATACATGTTAAAGGTTCACCATGTATCTTCAACACGCGCCCTCATGCGGCCTAAACACGCGCCCTCGTTTGGCGATTCCGGTTTATCCTATATATTAAACATGCCCCCTCGTTTGGCGATTCCGGTTCAATCCATATCTTAAACATACCACATTTGGCGACAACAGCTCAGCATATATCTTGACCACGCCGCCCCCTATTTGGTGATTCAGGTTCACACATGTCTCAAACATGCCTCCTCATTTGGCGACAACGGTTCATCATATCTCTTAAGCACGCCCCCGTATTTGGGAACCCTCATTTGGCGATTCCGGTTCATCAAAGAACTTAGAAACGCCCCCTCATGTGGTGATTCCGGT